AAAAGGTGTGTAGACGTACATACGTAACTACGAACGTGTGGAGTAGAGTAAAAGTATGTAGTATGTGCGTGTGGAAGATTTCAAATTACACCTATAGCTCATATAATATTCTAGCACACTTACATAATGATTACAAACATACAAAGGCACACACTTAATACATACAATGTTTTAATATGCTGGCTTTATTGTGATTATGATTGTTGTATGATTATTATCATTATTGTTATTAGAACCAGGCAGGAAGGCAACCAGTCTGCCACATAGTACAGGGCATACAGCCTGCCTGGCATTCAGTCATTCTGTTCCTAACACTCACATATTTACATACATGCTTATTTCATATTATTTCCTTTAATTTTTGCTTTTGGTGTTTGTTATGTTTTGTGCTGGTGGTATGCCACATAGTGATTTTCTTTAATAAACTCAAATTGAATTGAAACAAAAACTTTTGTTGTTTTTTTCTATAAAATTTTAATTAAATTTTCTAATTTGTATGAAATTTTCTTCTTTCTTCTTTCTAAACAACACACAACAACCCAACCAAGTATGTATAATGATGATGATGTTGTTGCCATAGACTAATATTTTAAAATCACCATAAATTTTTAACAATAATTGGCAGGGTTCTTTCCAAAGTGTGTTCATATGTTCATACAAAGTATGGGCTTGCTTACGGGTTAATGTAGGCAAAATCAATATCCTGCGGCTATTGACTTTTTCTAGCACAGAAAAAATACCATAACAACAAGAAAGGAACTGTGGAATATAATAAACTTTGCATTTAAAAGTTGTAAACTTCAAAAGCATGCAAAAAGAGAAGAAATTCGAGATTAATTGAAAAGTATTTTTAATAAAAAAAATGAACAAAGTTTATTTCTTATGGGAATAAAAACCTTAAATTGGTGGTATTTCCTTGAAAACGCTAAATTTTAAGCAGTTTTGAATTTAATATTTTTTTTGTTTGAAACATGTATAAAACAGCTAAATCTGTTAAATAAAATTAGTTGAGTTCAGTAAATAGTTTGATTACTTCTAAATCTATTAAAAAATAAACATTATTTTATGTGAAAGCCTTTAAATATTAATTATAATTTTAGTAGGAAGAAACTTCTTAGAAACCATTGATGGGAAAGTCTACACTAGCACATATTTGACAAATATTTATCCAAAACTTAAGTAAAAGCTTATTTAAATCTCAAAAATAAAATGATTGCACATAAAATATATTTTACTTTATTGTGGCATATCCCAAGCACATAAGTACTTCAGTAAAAGTATCACTTTTCACTTCATATAAAAATGTCTCTGTTTTTTCCAGCATACTACTTAAGTGCAATCTTTTTACTTTAGTCAAATATTTACACTTTTCATTTATATACTTCTTAATAGAAACAGACAAAAAACAAACCAAAACATAAAATTTATGTAGTATAACAAGTATTTCAATTTCATTTTAATTAATAATAAATTTGTCTGGCTTGGACCACTTGAAATTGCAGACGGTGTATTAACAAGCAGAGAGTCAGTAGAAGCTGGATAGCAGATCTTGGTTGAAACTAAAATATTTAAGTAATTTTCTGTGAATAATTAAAGTTAATGTCATTTTAAATGAATTATATGGCAATAGACATTACTTGACAGTGAATATAACTTAAATAAGATTGTTATGAGAAAAAAGAAATTAGCAACAAAGAAAAATGTATAAAAACTCATTTCATTGTCAATAAACATTATATAAAATTATATATATTTGTAACTACAGGTGACAATTGTCAAATCATCAACCCCATGATTAGATTTAACACTCCTACAGCTGAAAGCCAGACAACAAAATCAAAAACTTTTATATTATGCATGGAACCTGTAATCAGCGAAAGCAGACATAAATACATACATATTAAACCCCATACTTGTTTAAATTAATGCAGACATTAAATCCTTTTTTAACATTTTACACGTGTATTATCAAATTGTAACAATTGTTGTCATCATCATCATTGACATCGTTGTCATTGTCATCATTATCCTGTATCAGCAACAAGAACAACAACTAACTACTGTCTCGTATTTATTTACTAATGTATATAAGCATGAACTTGATTTTCAACACATTTGTAATTTAGATTAGAAAGACTTGATGCGAATGAAAATTTTGTAAGTTATTTACCTAAACGCTACTTGTAAGTAACTAAATTTCAAATTAGTTACAGTTAAAAGGAGTAAAGATACATATACAACCAGGTAATTTGAATAGTTTTACAAAAGGGTGTGAGTAATAAACCACAACTAAGACATTGTGAGTTTAGTTGTGATTACAACCCTTTTAAACCTCTATAGATATAAAAGAATAAGTTTTTTCTTTGCTAACTAAAAATAAGGGCTTAATTACCACATAGTAATTGAACACTTACTGAGATTTGTTTTGAAAATGAAACAACATTATCAAGCCTCATAAATACATTATTCAACATTTATAAGGATTTACTTGAAAAATTCTTTAATAAACAATGAAATTTAAATGAATTTTTATAATTACCAGGAAATTATTATTTCAGCATTAGAAGTTCAATTGCTAAAGCATTTAAAAATTTATAACTTTATTTAAACTTTGTTTAGAAATTCGATTTACAAATTGTTATTTAATACCACAAGTTAAATACATAAAATCAAGTCCTTCACCTACAATACCACTTTCTCTTCTCTTGTCTGTCTATTGTTTAGCTATTTACTCGAAAACAAAACCTTTGAAAATTTGCTAAAATTCGAAATAGAACACTTTAAAAAGTTTTTACACAAATAACAAACTCTTACCAAAAAAACAACAAGCAAGTTTAAGTAAAATTCAACTAAGTTTCTAAAATTCCAACCAGCCAACAATAGCAGATATAACACAAACAACAGCAACAATAAAATATCTATTTAAAATTCTACAATTTAACTAAATATTTTAACACTACCTAGAATTATAACTATGAACGTAAAAAAGCATTTTGTTGGATTTTTGCAATTCCGAAAAAAACAACTTCCTAAAAAAACCCAAAAAACCAAGTCAGTAAGTATTTACAATATCTATGTACACGAAAAAAATGAAAATAGTACATGGTACATATAATAAGAACATAAAATCCAAGAGTTTCTATAGTTAAATTCTTCTTGGATTTCTATACAACACAAATGAGAGCAAAATAATATAAAAAGGTTTATTTTTACTCGCATTTTCTTTAATGAAAGCAAAAGGTGAATGAAACAATTTTTAGTAGTAATCAAATATACGGGTATCTATGGGTTATATACTATAAGGAGGAGTGTAAGAAGTTGCACATATGAATTTTTGGTTTTAATATTATAAGGTATTTTCATATATATTGCGTAGGTTATATTGTCGCAATGAATGCGAAAGTGAATTTCAAAGTAACATAAAAACAAATCACGTTTTAATTTGGTTTAAAATTACACAATAAATGTTCATTCGCAATAGTTAAGCAAACATTTTTAAAACACTTAGAGAAATGTATGGTGAGAAAGAATTTAAAATTTTTTCAAATACATATGTTTTTATATGACTAATGGGTGTGAGATGCAGGATCTCTGAAAATCGGTACATATTCTCAAAAATTATGAGAAACCAAAAAGTTTTTTTAAATATATATTTTTAATATATTTTTAATATATTTTTAAAAATTAAAAATCTCAAACATAATTGTAAACGTACCTAAGGCCTCTAGTACCAATTATTGTAAGGTAAAGAACAGATCTAAAATAGTTTCAAAATATCACTGAAAGTGAAATACTATTAGTGGTCTTATTGTCGTAAACTTTTTCAAGCTAAATTCACAAAATTCAGTTATTGGGTGCAAGTAAAACAATATTAACAATAAAATATTTGATTAGTAAACGACATAGGTTACGAATGGGGATCATGTTTTTAAAGATACAATATTGTTGTTTGTCAGACACTTAAGAATTTCTGTTGAATTTTTTACCGCCCTAATTAACAATGAGATTTTGATAAAGAACGACTGGACCATCAATGCTTTCGTATGTTAGGAAGTTTCAATATGAATATTACTTTCAATCATGGAGAGTAAGACATAGCTTCCAAGGTAGAAGCAAAATATAATCCCACAAAGGTATTTAGAGGCGTTTGATACAGTTTTTTAAAATTGCATTTGCAAAAGAATTACCCACGACATAAACTAATTAATAACCACTAAGACCGTTGTCCAGGATTCATTACTGAATATTATACTGAATACACACACACAAATAAATAGAACAATTTCCAATACAGTACCCAGCAGTTCGACAAAGAGACAATGCATCCGAAAAAGTCAGTGATTTTCACTAACGTCACGGATGTACTCTTTGTAAACGAGGTTGAAGATAATCGTCACTTTAATATCCTCTTTGTAAGCGGGAGAGTGGACACTTAAAAAACAAGCTTAAGCTTTTTGTCGGTCTCTTCGTAATCTGTGGGGTGACGATTAACTTCCTCGTAGGACAAGCACATGTTAAAATAGCTAGTCACCTGGGCAGTCGGTGGCTAGGGGCCACCATAAGTAGTAAGTTAAGTGGTTAGTTCGGGACTGTCCTGCCGAACTGCTGGGTACATATGTAGTACTTGTGTATGTATATATTTACATAAGTATTTTTGGAAAAACATACGGCAGCCGTAAAAATATTACAAGAACAACAAAATGCACAAAAAAGTAAATTGTAATCAAGTTCTTTGCAATTTTGTCCAAAGTAGCCACCACTTTGTTGTCAGGTTCAATATGCAAAACCCTTTGCATACCTTCGTATAACCTCATTTTTTTGATACAACAATAATAACCACCGTACGACGAATTCATTCATATGTCCAAAACTTCTCCGGCGGAGTACGGATTGTGAAATAGGTTTTGAAGCAACTTGCAGCTCCCATTAATTTCATGCATATGTACATAGAATGACAATGAATGAATGTTATATTATAAAATATGTATAAAAATGCCTACCTGTTATCCACGCCAATTTGCTTTGCAAAACAATTTATGGCCAAGATGTCCGGAGGTGTTCACCAAACTGATCTTAACACTTTCCGTTGGTAAAACATTAACTTGGACTAACTTGATTCTAAATAACCCACAATTATCTTCACTATTTATTAACACTCAACACAAGTTCCTGATACATTTTCCGCCATCTTTTTTTTCACAGCAGTTCACTAAAGTCATTTTAATTTCTAAATAAATTTGGCCAACATTTTTTTAAAAAATCATTATTTTTTATAAAATAAATGATTTTCTAAAGATAATAACACTTTCTCTTTATTTTCTTAGTAAAATAATACTTAAATAATTAACATTTACACTTTATTGAAATAATTTGTCACAAAACGAATTTAACAAAAGAAAAAACACAAACTGAAATGATAAATTAAACTAGGGCTACCAAGACTTAAAGTCCTAAATAAACAAACGGGATTAAGTTTAGGATTAAATTTTAAAGCTAGCACGGCAACACTTTAGCAAAGCTTTTTCTTGTTTCGCTTTGCCAACTGACGTTTCTTTCATTCTTTTCAAGTTTGTGGCGGCGTCAATCGTGTGGTTACGTAATTTTTTGCAAAATTGTTTTCAGTTGTAAATTTTTAATAAAAAGTGTGTTTAATTAGTGAAAATTAAATAAATATGTGCAAAAAGTGTGTGAAAGTCTGTAGGAAATGTCTATGAACAACAGGTAAGTTTTTGTTGTGAATGTAGTACTTACAATCTTTGCTGGAACTAATTGTGGTTTTCTTGCAGGTATGTAATGAATATTAACATATTGCCAGTCTCAACCAAATTTTGTGATCATTTAAGCTAAACTTATGAATGTTAGCAACAAATAGAACAAATTAATCCTAAAATCCTTGCACTTCACGGAGTAATTTACACAACTCCGTATTAAACTTGGGAATCTACAGGTAAACTCTTGCTTTTAACTTGGAGGGGTTATTTTTCAATATGACCTAGTCGTTAGTACTTGATCTGGTCATTAGTAAGAAGAAATGGAGTTTAACGGCAATTTCTTTAGAAGCCTTCTTAATTACAAATGCCAGGTTGTCTCCACTCAGCTTGTAAATGTTATCGAAAGGCCTTTATGTCAGAAATTCATATAAACCAACAGCAGCAATGTTCATAATCATAAAGCATTAAAAATGTAAGACGCAGTTTAACGTAATTCGAAGAAAAGCCATTATTTAGCTAGAATATTTTCCGGACTATGAAATACACTATATTCTGAACAAAAGACTAGATTAAAATGACTAAACTTCCGTCTGAACTATATATTAAATTTCAATCTTGAGTATAGTACTTTTTAAATGCAGTCTGGACTATAGACTAGACTACTATCTGTACTATGGTCTATAGACTAGACTATACTCTGGACTACAAACTGGACTAGAGACTAGGGAGTCTTTAGACTAGACTATGGACAAGACTATAAGCTGTACTATAGACTAGGTTATAAGCCTTGATTATAAAGTAAACTAGACTAGAGAATACCTAGAGACAAGAGAATAGCCTATAACCTGAAGTATATAGTCTTTAATTTGAAATTTTCGAGACTGTACTGTAGTATGATCTATAAACCATAGACTGGAGTAAATCCTGTACTATGAACTTGATAATAGACTTTAGACTATAGAATTGACTAGATTAGATTATAGTCTGGACAGTAGAACAATCACTAGTCCGGAATGTAGACTAGATTAGAATCTGGAATGTAGCCTAGAATATATTCTGGGCTGTAGGCTAGACTTTAGACTTGACTAGATTATAGTCTGGACAATAGAACAGACTATAGATAGACTGGAATATACATAAGCAGACTATAGCTTAGTCTGGCATAAATTACACTATAGTTTGACCAAATTATAGTCTATACTATTTACTAGTTTAGAATATAGACTCTAATCATAATATGGTTGTATCATGGACTCTAATAAAATCTAAACTGAAGACTAGATAACAATATTCTTGCTTCCCAAATTAAATTTCATCACCAAAAATTTTAAAGTGTATTTCAATACCTTAAAATACAATGAATTAGAAATCTTCTTACATCTCTTCGAAATTCATTTACCCCAACAATCTCTAAAACGAATTAGTTGTAGTGAGTTGTATTGCTGAAAATATATAGTGAAAGAATGAAATGTTGTTAGTATTCCTGTTGATAATATTGCATTTGTAAAACATGTAATAGAACAACCAAAACATTTCGCACCGTCATTTCGTTTACAATTAAATGGGAGTGACAGCAACTGTTTGCAAGTTGCCTTTTACAATTCTATATAATCTTATTTGTTGTTGTTGCTATTTTGCCATTAAACATGAATGTTGTAACCTTTCGTTTTCTGTTTTTTTTTTTAACAAACCTTCCATATAAAAAATTGGAGTTGTAATGGTGGAGTCTGGGAGTGTATAAGTTGAAAATTTAAATTAAATTTTATTTGTTTTTCACACAAAAACTCTAAAGTAAATGCAAATTTGTAATGTTTTAAGCATGACATTATTTATTCAACACAGAGTCTATGTCTAGTTCGTTTGGTTGATTTGAAACGAGCTGTAGTTAAAATTTATAAAATAGAAATAAAAGTAAAAATAGGAATAGGAATATAGAGGTGTTGTTAAACAAATTATAAAAAAAGAACATGTTGTTACTTTAACCAACAACTAGATAAAAAGAATAGGCATCAAGCGTTGGTATTGATCACTAAAGTTGAGATAAGATAATAAATTTAAAAAATCATTGAAAGATCATAAAAAACACCATGTGGTGTAAAACAAATTTGTATGTTTCTTTAAGAGAGCGTATAACTTCAAAAAGGACCTCCCTATTTGTTAAACTATAATAAACGTAACGAAATATGAGTCTGCTTGTAAAAGAAAAACATTTGAAATTAATATAAATTGATTTTTAGATTCCTTCAAAATTTAACAACGGTAGGCGTTACATGTTACAATTTCTGTTTTTGAATTGTCTGATCTTCAATAAAATATAAAGAATCCTGTAATTTTATGTGGTTTTTTCATTATTTAATGTTACGTAACCAATTTGATGTTTTTTCCATGTTGTTTTTTTTTCTTTTATTTTCTTGACTTGTAGTAGACTACTTTGAATACCCCGCCTTAAAGTTTTTGTAAAATATTTTCCACTTCTGAGACTATTGTTTTTATGTTGTAAATATGTATATTGAGCATAATATTTCACCATAATAATTGCTGATACGCATTCAATCGTTTGTCTAGCTGTGAGTTTTGTCGAGTTGTCTCAATGTTAAAATGCCGATATCATTGTAGTTTTCCATGCTTTGTAGCATGGTTTGTTCGAAAACCAATTTTCCATGCCTTGCTATGCTTTGGTATCAATTTTCATTATTTCAATGACTTTTTCTCTCTCGTATTCACTTTTATTTCATTTTTTAGCCGGTCGATTTGTTGTCTGCTTGCTGACTTTTTTTCATTCTTTATTTCTACAATTTTATTCATTCATTCACACAATACGTTTGTTGGCTGCTTATGCTGCTATCGCCTGTTGGCTGAGTAGTAATTTTTATAGAAAATGGCCAAGTGTATGTAAGCAAGAAAGGCAAAGTTGGGAGATTTATCAAAAATGATTTCGTGCTTATTATCCTTAGAGTCTTGACTTTTGAATTTTCTTTTTTGGTTTAGGTTTTTTCTTCTATTTTTCTGCTGTCTTTTCTTTTATATTTTTGGCATTGCTTGCGGCTTTGAGTATTGTTAAAGTCATGGAGCCTTTTACGTTCCAGTTATTCTGTTTAGTTCCGAACAGCTGCTGGCTGTAAGAATAGAAATAAATAGTATTTTATATCTTAAAGCATGACTGCTGCTGCAAGACTTTCCTCCATATAATAGCAGCAGACAAAGTAACACATTCATTCGATTTTTATTTCCTAATATACATTTGTTGCTATTATTACTATTTGTGTGGGTAGATTTGAAGGTAGCAGTAGTTCATCTCCAACTACATAGAAAACATAAAGTAAATTGTTATTATTATTTTTATTGAATGAGCTTAGAGTTTACTTTCCGTTAGTAAGAAGGCTAGGATATTTTGTAAGGTTGTTGTTTTAACCAAGTCTGCTTACCATTATCATAGATGTTAATACCTGGTATACGATTTTGTACCCTACACTTCCAAACTGTTAACACAAATTTAGCAACCAATCACTTTTGTATTTGAAATCAGTGAGAGTTTCAAAATTCACTAGAAATTAACTAAAAATTACTTCAAATATCAAAAAAACCTCAGGAAATATTCAAAAATCGAATTTTATTTTTTAGTAACAAATTTTTTAATAAACTTTTTAAATGTTTAAATTGAAACCTTTTTTACCTTCATGTAGTTCCTCGCATATTCGTTCTGATTATAATTTCTTACGCCAATTTGTTTCCTTCCCAGCACTTATATGCTCAAAATACTTGTGCATGTGTGTGGTAGCTGACAGTATGACTAAGGCCCCTGTTGCTCATGGGAATGCGGCTTTTGTGCATAATTGAGTGTATTTGTTGTAATCTTTATGATGATCATTTAGTTTTTTATTTATTTTTATTTCAATTCTGTTCATGGCTTCTTCTTTTTTCAATTCTTCTTTATATTTTACAAAAATTTAAACTTAATGCATTTGCAACCATCCATGAAAGAGTATGGGATATTTATTTTTAATATATGAACTATTTCTGTTTTTATTACGTTATAGACAGTCAGACAAATAGAAAAAATCGTAAAAGAAAGAAAACATTATTAAAGATAATCTGTTTCCATGGTGAATTAAAAAAAAAAATATTTATTTTCTAATAAAGAGAGGAGAGATTAGAAGTATTATGACTTTCAAGGATAAAATAATCCCTAAATAAATGATAACAACATATAATTTAAAGTTATTGGTTTCTTTAGTCGTTAAGAGATATTTAAGTAATAAATAGAATTCGTATAGCAAAAGGGAATAATTAAACAATATTATTAGTGGGAAAATATTTTAATAATTATATTTAGTATTAAAACATTTAAAGTATTATTTAATCTAAAACAATAAACTAAATTTGTTGGGGTTTTAATCAAGACACATTTCATATAATTTTAATATATTACAACTTCTTTCTTTTTTATTTTATTAAACATATTTTGCTTTAATCGATTTCCTTTCTTAAACATTCACCACAACCACAAAATTTATTTACATTTTCCCTTCATTCATATTGATTTTTTTTTGTTTTTCCCATCTTGACACCAAAAAATAACAATTTTAAATAAACTGTTAAATCTTATGAAAACAATATCAATAAACACTTTATAATTTAACACTGATTCTTATGAATACTCCAATATTTTCTTAAGAAACCCTACAAAAACAAATCGTCATTATCAACCCCATAAATACCATCATAATCACCAACATCATCGACATCTGCTCTACTCATTCCCTGGAAATTTGAAGCCAAAAATATTAAAATTTTAACAGAAATAAAAATAAAAAATCATTGACAAAAAAGCAAAGAAAAAATCCTTTTTTTCCAATTTGCCTCTTCACGTTACGTTAACAAGGACTCGTAGCATACTCCTTTAAGCATACGGAGAAACACTTTTTTATATGCATATTAACAAATACTTAAGATTTAACGATTCCTCTACTTAGTTACTTTGTTTTTTTACAAGGAAAACAACTTAAGATT